AATTCAACAAACTGCTTATCTGGCATCTCTTCCCCATTAAAAATTCTTGCATTCCTATCTTTCCAAAGTACCCACATCATAATTGCTCTGGTGACCTGTGCAATATAGCCCCACCTTTCCTTCAATGGTTCGCCCTCGGGTACTGCTCCTGTTAGGACCCATCTCTCGTCCACAGATTTGTTTTTCCCAGTGATCTCCTTCGAGTGGAAGAACCACCACTTCCATCTCTTTTGTGATACAGGACAGTCCCACCACAAATGTTTTACATCCTCATATAGCCACCCACATCTCCCACACTTCGGATCTATATTCCCCATTCCTCTGTTCCGTAACCACATTGCAGTAGGCACCACGAGGTGCGACTGCATCCACAACAAGGAAGCCAGCTTTTGTGTTGGGATCTCCTTGAGCTGTTTCCAAAGAGCCTGGAGTTCCACTTCACTGGGTGGATCTGAGTTCGGGATGGATTTCTTCCATCTGTCTGTCAATTTCTCCACCAGATCTTTCCTTTTTGCAGGCTGTATACAGGCAGTGTTCGCAAGGTGATCAAGTCCTCTAACTACATCCCCTTCCTTCGCCCACCTCTAGGATTCGGGGTTGATCCTTAAGTTGCTATATCCCCTACCACCCCCTACTACTACCGGTAACTGTTGTACCCCTTTAGCTGTCCCACGCTTCAGACCTCCTTCCTTCACTCTGCACTCTGTCAACCCGCTTAATTTGTACCTCTCTATTGTCCCAAAACTAACCAGGCTGCTAGCCTCCGGGGATTCCTTCTCATAGACCTCTAGCACACACTTGCCATCCACTGCGTCGTGCCAGTTCCTAAGCTTGTAGTACCTCTTTGTGCCGACCTCTGATCTCAGCCAGGTTCCGGGTGGGTTTACCCCCTCCGAGCTCAGCAGGACCTTCCATTCCAAAGGCAGAGATTCCCTGACCTGCTCTATCCGTTCCTCTTGTGCAGGGAGTTGCCCCAGTTTCTCCTTCAAAACTGTGGTGTCGTGCCACTGGTTTGTCTCCTAGTTCCACATGTCCCTGACTGTTGTCACTCCTCTTTGAATCCACTTGTACCCAAAGTTGCCAGTGTCTCTCCGGGCCGTTATGACATTACCATCGTTGCCTCTGATATGCGGATTGTCAAATATGTGCTGCTCCAGTACCTGCTGCTTTGAGGTTGGTGCGGCGCGGACTGATGGTTTCACAGTCTTCCACGCCTGCAGGATTTCCTTCCAAAGCTTAGAGTTGATCTGCTTCCCTGTGAACACATCTGACATTATTGCTATCCAGACATCCTTCCTCCGGGTCAGCCCCCATTCATTCATCAGAATCCTCTTAGCTAGTAGATACCAATCAGAGTCTTGGTCTGCCTCTGCCACTCTCAGAATCCACTCGCACAGAAGCAGGTAATTCTGTGTGCGCGGGTCTGTCATGTTCAGCCCTCCTTTTTCCTTTGGGAGACACACTGTGTCCCTGGCCACCTTGGCGATGCAACCTTCTCCTGGTTTGGCGAATGGTTTCCAAAGGAAGAGTCTAGCAATCTTCTTAATTTCCTTCAAGGATTCCTCGGGGATCCTCGTCACTCGAGCCACGAACCACAGCAATGAAAAAGCCGAGACGTTCAAGGCTAGAGCACGACCAAAGAGTGAGAGATGTTTCGCTTCTCCCCAACTCCTGATCCTGTTTTTTACTCTTTCTTGCAGTATTAACCCTTGAGAGGAGGAGCAGTCCTCCAAGGCTATCATTACCCCAAGAAACCTCTCGGCCTCCCCTTTATCGATTCTCTTCATGCCCCAGTTGACTTGCAGTTGCTACGTTTCTGGGAGGAGGAAGGCTGACTTTTCCCAGTTCACTGCGGCTTCGGAAAACTCTGCATAGATCATTAAGCAGTTCTTCAAGGATGACAGCGAGTTCCCTGTATTTGCACAGACCGCCATGAGGTCGTCTGCTAGTGCCTTGATTTTGCATTCCTTTTCTTCAGATCGTTTCAGACCCTTAATCTCCACGTTTGTCCTGATGTTATTAACTAGCACTTCCATCTTCAGAACAAACAACAGGAGGGCTATCGGGCAACCCTGCCTAAGAGACCGTGAGAGTGAGAATTCCGCAGAGCATTTCCTATTCACCATGATTGCAGCTGTAGAGTAGGCGTATAACGCCTTCACCCACCGACAAAAGCATACCCCAAACCCCATTTCCTTCAGGGAGGTCATTACAAACGCCCAGTTCACCCTGTCGTAGGCCTTTTCCAGGTCTAGCAGGAGAACTGCCATCTCCATGTCTTCCTCGCTCACTACCTCTACACTTCAATGGCAGTAACTATGTTTTCAAAAATTGACCTCCCCTTAATAAATTCTCCCTGCTCCTTTCCTACTAGCAACGAGAGGGTTGCTCCAATCTAGTGGCGAGAGATCTAGCCAGGATCTTATAACTAACATTTAAAAGCGAGATAGGTTGCCAGTTTTTAACTAGCGACTTATCCCCTTTCTTAAACATAAGGGTAATTATACCCCTTGTCGTGGAAGACTCCAACTTGCCTCCCACCAAAATCTCATTGTACATGCTAAGTAGGTCCGCCTCTAACGTACCCCAACAGGCTTCGTAAAATTCAATTGGAAGGCCGTCGTCACCCGGGGCTTTCCCCCTGGCCATCACTTTGATTGTGTGTCTCAACTCCTCCTCCGCTAGTGGCCGGTCCAACTGTTGCCTCATGTGATCAGGAAGCTTGGCCTGCAGGTTATCCCACAAGTTTGTGAAGGTTGACATGTCAGTGTCAATGCTTTCTCCTTGGCGTCTTGTTGTAAGAATATCCTGGAAGTAGATCATGGCATATTCGCACATGCCGTCCAGAGATGTAGCCTTTGGCATACTGGCAGCAGCGGGTGAGCTGACTCCGACATTACCACTCGTTTCCTCTGTGGGAGTAACCTCTTTAAGGATTCCTTAGTGATGCGGTATGAGGAGACGATCCCTTTCGCTGCAAGAATTTGCCTCCACCTCTTCTCTTTACTTATTTGCATCTCCTCCCACTGTCTAAGTCTATTTGCCCTCTCCATACCCCAAAATGCCTGAGAAACCGGATGGCCAACCATGTTCTGTTCTGCTTCCTCCACTTGCTGCTTTAGCTTTCTTTCTTCACTATTCCTCTGATTGGCCGCAATCCTTGAGAAAATATCGAACTTTCTTGCAATAATTCTCAAGTCGGCGTCTATCCACTCTGCACACGACTCAAACTCCAGCAGCACCGCTTCCCATGAGCTCCAGAAGTCGGCAACCCACTGTTTTCAACCCTCATCCTCCAGGTTCTGTACATTCAATTTAAACAGCCCCGACCCTCGTTCTATCTTCTGGCCCAGAGATATGTCCATCACTACAGGTTTATGGTCAGACAGCGAGGCACTTTGAGTTTCCACCTTTATAGTCAACTTGCTGGCTTCCTCTGACAGCAAAAAGTAATCAAGTCTCCTCTTCGTGTCAGGGGCAGTGGCCGGATTCCCAAACCAGGTGAAGCCTGGTTCCCCTGGGTGTTTGCCTCTGAATATGTCTTTTAGTGCCCACGCTTACCTCCATCTTAGGAGATAGCTCCTGTCCTTCTTCATCCCATCATCCTTCTCTGAATCTAGTCCAGGTGCGGAGACCTGGTTCCAATCCCCTGCTATCACCAGAAATTCAGCATTAGGTAGAACCTTCGGTAGTGACTCGAAGAAGTCCAGCCTGGAATGCGGATCATTTGGAGCATAAATACTGGCAAAAACCCAGCTTTCCTGACCGATGCTGAGCTTTACCCAGCACCGGCGTCCCCAGAGATCCGAGTCGAAGTCGATCAGCTTTGTCTCCAGATCTCTGTGAATGAGCACTGCCACCCCACCTTTGCTGCCTCTTGCTGGGGACCACAACTGTGGACCAGTCCACCAGTCTTTCAGTTCCGCCAGCTTCCATTCTGAGAGCTTAGTTTCCTGTATGAGGAGCACATCTATGCGTTTGTCATGTACCCAAGACTTTAGCCTCACGCCCTTACATTTACCCCCTGAGTCCCCCAACCCGTTCACATTCCACGTAGCTATTCGACCTCTGCCCATGCCCCTGCACCCCTAAGGCTGTAGGCTGGATACCTCCATCTCCATCAATCGGGACATGTGCCGTCTCCTTCCAACACTCGCAGAGAGAGTCCGCTAGGTATTGGGAGGTGAGATTGCGACGTTTTGGCAGCCTTTGATCCAATTGTACCAGGAAGGACGCTGGAATACGAGGGTCCACATTAATCAGAGATAGGACCGACTGTTCCCCGTTTGTAAAGCAACTAATGAGAACACATTCGAGGCCTACCCTGTTCAACCCCGCCCATTGCTCCTGATTCAACCTCGCATCTATGAGAGGGATCGAGTACATGATTCTCCGACCACCCGGTAAATTTACTAAATTTTTTGTCATCATATTATCCGGGAAAATCCTGTACTGAAATCGATCACTATACATCCTTCTCATCTGTGTTGCAATCAGTTCTGGAGAGGCCAGCCCCTGAAGGGGAATGGCTGGTAAGACCATCGTTCCATCCTGCGTCTTTAGCCCAATAACATATACATCTTGACCGTGGATCGCACATACAAAGGGGAGAAGAAAGGCTTCCTCCTGATCTCTTTCCCCCCTTTTCACAGTCGTGACGCCTTCTGGGATTTCTCTAATTGAGTCTCCCTCTTCCTCCCTTTCTGCCATGGCAGCAGAGTTTGCCTGCCTTCCCTGTTGCGTAGTTAAGCCTTTCGACGCTGCCGGGCTTGCTCCCCGTAACCTCACAACCACTTCTGTCGGCACTTGTTCTGCGATTTTCCCAAAGATCGGCTGAGGTGTACTGCTTCTCCCACCGTTCTGCGGTCCTCCCTGGAGGGCCGATGGGTGTTGTAACAGCGCCATACCTCCAGGACTCATGCCTTGGGTTCCCTGGGCCGGATACATTCCTCCAAGGTGGCTCGGCTGGGGAATTGCTCCCCCTGCCAGCTGCCATGCATACGAGTTTTGCCATATGCCCGCTGCTTGTTGTTGCTGTCAGCGAAACGCTCCATTGTTCCCGTACGGTGTGAAGGCTCCGTGATGAAACTGTGGTCCTACGCCTCCTTGGAGCATATTGGATCTGAACGCTTTGTTGGCTTGATCATATTGAGGTCTCCCTGTCGGTCTGTATTGCCCTTGTTCGATATCTTGGTCCCGTCCTTTTGGTAAACCCGATCGTACTTGGGAGCCTTGATGGCTTCCTTGCATTATGCTCTTTGATAGATCTCTTGGCGCCTCTTGGATCCTGTGCTGTCTTGGGGAGGTTCGGTTGTCTTCTCTTCTCCCACCGAAATTTTCCGCCGTCTCGCCTTCGCCTGGGGCTTGATTGTTCTGTTCTGTGAGCTTTGGACATCCGCTCGTAGCCGTATGAAACCACCATCGGCACTTCTCACACCATGGAGTGTGTTTACACACCACTTTAATTGTGACAATCTCCCCGTCTTCGAGTTTCATCGGAAGTTCCGGTACGAAATTGCTCTCTACTTCCTTTACCAGATCGTACTTCCTATTCATAAACTTTGGCCTTGTCTTGTCTGGCTCGTACGCCTTTATCACTTTCCCCATAGACTTCTCCAGCATGTCCTGCACATGGAAGACGGTCCGGATCGGAATCCTCAGCACAATCACCCAGAACTTAGTCTCGTCATCTACTTTTCTTTTGTCTTCCAACTCTTTCCTCGTCATCCATGGCTTAAATAGCATAGGGTAAGAAATAGAGCCTACCACCACTTTGTCCTCACCTTTGGCTATCATCCATTGTGCTATCTCCTCCGTCATAGCAATGTATGACACCATATTCAGACCTTCCCCATGGATCCTTCCTCTGCGCACTCCCCTGTCGAATATTCGTTGAAGAATCCATCCGTTTTCGTAGGCTCGGATGAGGTCCTCTCTGATTTTTAACGAAAGATCTTGTGCCGCCCCCTGGAAGATAACTGTGAATGTTCTCCTCTTAATCCATGCGGTGGTCATCCTGCCTATCGTCTCATTTACTTTGAAAATCCTTACCCCGTTCTCGACTACAAACGCCTCATGATCGAGCCCTTCCGGCATCACGCCATCTTCAAAACACTTTGTCAACAAGATTCTGACACGGGCTTCTTCTGTTAACCCGACATCTCTATCCCTCGGGGGGGATCGACCCGCTCTGTTCGAGCCTTCTCCCTGCTGCTGCTGCTGCTGTCCTTGAGCTCTCTCCATCGTAGACCGTTCTCTTCCCACTTTTCTCTATCTCCGCTTTCTCCCCCTCTCCTATCCCCTTCCTTCCCCGATTTGCTTGGATCCTCTCTTATCTACTTCGACGGTGGCTCCTCTACTTTTCCTTCTTGCTCACTCGGAGTTTACACGTCAGAGGTGAGTGTCGGATATGGCGCGAACCCGTCCAAAGCCTCCTTGATTTGCGAAATTCTCATTAAACCAGCTAAAATTCTTCGACATATCATCGTCTCCGTCCTACAGATAGGTCGGCTTAGGAGTATGGATATCCCCCGTCTCTGCGGGCAGTTTCTCGGTCTTGCCGAGTAGGACCCACATTCCCGCCCTTCACGGTATCATGGTGGTACCGTCAAGGCAAGCCGAACCGGTGCCTACGCCGGTAGCGCTAACTTGGAGCGCTAATTCAGCGTCGTCCGCCTCGCCCCCGTTTTCTGTCCTTTCCGTGTCGATTTCTGTTTGGCCCCCTTTTTTATTTTTTGTTTTTGTGTTTCGTATTTTAAAAAAACAAGACGTCTGGCTGCCGCGACAGCGGCGGGGACCAAGAGCGGGGACCAGGAGTATGCGATGGCGGCGGGGACCAAGAGCGGGGACCAAGCGTAGGGGGAAAAAAAAAA